GATCCAAATTTCAATAGACAGCTTTCAGAAGCTGCCAGACAGGTACTCTCTCAGGTAGAGCATGCTATATGGCAGGCACATTATATAAATTATGACAAACCTTGGCAAGCATATATATATATATCCTACTAAACTTACTCCTACAGTAGTTTTATGGTAAAAGAGGCCACTCTTATGAATGTACCTTCAAGTATCACCAGCTAAGGTATTAAATCTTTATTTTGAAGCAGTAGCTTGCTTAGCACAGAAGAGCAGGATAGACTCTAGGAAATATTTTGGCAAGGAACCACCTATGATCCATGTTCCTTATACTAAGCAACAAACTGTTATTCCAAAATAGCGATTCTTGGGCAATTGCATTTGCTCAATTTCAAGGCCAGATTAAAAATCTTTTTCCAGAGAACCCATTGCTGCAGTTCATATAACTGCATTCCTTCATTTTCCCTAAAATGGTAGCAAAAGATCCTTTAAAGGATGCCTGTTAATTTTCACTGATGGCTCTTCTAATGAGAGGGCTGTTTATGTGGTTAATGGTAATGGGCATGGGTGCAGACAGAACCAGCCTCAGCTCAGGTAGTTGAGCTGAGAACTGTGGCTATAGTATTTCAACACTTTGCAAATGAAACTTTCAATCTATATACATACTGACAGCTGACATATTTTTAATGCTCTTCAGTCCTAGAGACCGTCCCTTATATCGGGATTAGCAATAGTTAAGATGCTATTGCAACAGATTCAAGAGGCCATACAACAAAGAAAGTTACCATGTTTTGTGGGACATATCAGAGTACATTCAAATCTTCCCAGTCCACTAGCTGAAGGTAATGCTTTAGCTGATAAACTTACAAAAATAGTTGCTCTATCACAGGTTGAACTGGCTCAGCAGTCACATGCTTTGCACCATCAAAATAGTCCAAGTTTACGAAAACAATTTAAATTAACAAGAGAAGCTACTTACCAAATTGTTAAGCACCGTGAGATGTGCCCACAATATTTACCTGTACCTCACTTGGGGGCAAATTCCTGAGGACTACTTTGTAATCATGTATGGCAAATGGATGTTACTCATGTCTCAGAATTTGGAAAATTGAGGTATGTGCATATGACAGTTGATACATATTCAGGATTCTTGATGGCCACTGCACAAACTGGGAAAGCTGCCAAGCATGTAATAACTCATTTCTTAAAATGCTTCTCATGTATGGGAACCCCAAAAATAATAAAGACAGATAATGGATCTGGATATATTAATAGAGCATTTCAGCAATTTTGTGCCCAATGGAATACTGAACATAAGACTGGTATTCTTTATAATCCTCAAGGGCAAGGAATTGTGGAGCGTGGTCACAGCTCTTTGAAAACACAACTTCAAAAGATAAAAACAGGAGAATTATATCCTCAAATGCCACAAAATGCCTTAAATCATATGTTGTATGCCTCTTAAATATGGATGTCAATGAGCAGACAGATTATGTCAAGTGGCAGACAGATTATGGCATAATGCACAAAAGCAACCTTTGCAAGGTGGAGAGATCCTTGCACTGGAAGATGGAAAGGGCCTGACCCTGTATTAATTTGGGGTCGAGGATATGTCTGTGTTTTTTCACAAGATGGCTTCCAGAACGCCTGGTTTGATGTGTCCAGCAGAGCAACACCAGACCCGATGACATGGTAGCTGCTAACACCTCCATGGAGGAGTCAGAATGAAAGTCTGTGGTCCCGCTTTCCTGACCCCAGGGAGAGGAATGCCTGACCCATAGGACCTGCTTGTAATGGCTGCTGCCATCATTTGACACAGCAGACACCATTCTGCACTGCAGGACGCTGTGCTGCTTCTAGACACTCAGGATCCACATAGCTACAGAGATCCTGCTGCAACAGCCAGGATAATTACAACTTGCAACAGTCTGAATCCTGTACTTTGGAGCCGGACTAGAAATACAGAACTCAGATTGCCAATGAGGTATTCAATCTGCTTTTTTGAAATGTTAAGAGAGCCTGAGAACTGAGATCTCAATTTACTCCTCACAAGAAAAAGATCTGAAAGCCCTCTTCAGATAAGGAGGGTAGCCTAAGGGTTTTTCAGCTGCTCAGAGACTGGGACAGTTGCTTAAAAACAGCATTGTATTTGGACTCTTACCCATTACAAAAATCTTCTTGTCTTTCGGTTAAAATGGATTTAAGAGAATTAAGATTTGTTAAATGGTGTTATGGTATTGACCTGTTTATACTTTAGTTCACTATAGGATGTTAATGGTTAGAAAATGATCAGAACTTGTTTAGGAAAAGTTCAACACTAGTAATGCTCACTGTAAGATGTTAGTGATTAGAAATGTTTAGAACTTGTCTAAGAAAAGTTTGACACTAGCAATGAATTCTTGAATTTTATATGTTTGATAAGACAAATTTAGAGTTTGACACAGCTGAATACTCTAGACCAATTCACAAGTGGGCATTCCCAACTCTGGTGATCCTATATTCCTTTAATAAGGAGGTATATTAGCCATTAAAGATTGCATAGCACAAAGTATTATCTGCTTGTTTATCATTAGCTAATTGCTAATAATGAACTCTCTTGACAGTACTTTCTTCCTTTGTTTACAGAGGTTTGCAGTCAAGCACAGGATTTGGTCCATTTTCCCTCCAGGCACCTAAGACAGCGACTTGCATAAATTAAAATGCGTGTTCCACAGACTGGGAAATGGAGAAGTGTTCACCCTAAGGCAGGTGCGATCATCTGTCCTGTTGCAGAAGCACAGGCTTTATTAAAATTAATAAAAAGGGAGGAAATGTAGAGGCCCAAAGAGGTCAAAGGTCAGAGAGTTTGAGACTTGTTTTTAGTTCAAGATTATTGTGCTTCTAACTCAAACAAAGGTCCTACTTAGTTGTAAATCAGAATTCTGCTCTTTCAAGGCTACTGTAAACAGGTGTGGCGAGTTTCCAGAAGTTGTGCTCCTGAAATAGTCTTAGGAACCAACTAGGTTCTTGTTCCCTTTATGGAAATAACTTGGGATTCCACCCAGGGAGTGGTTTGCCTAGAGTTTGGTCTAGGGTGAGAGTCAAGGGCATGAGCTAGGACTGTACCCAGGACTTTCAATTTGTATGTTAATGCAGTCCTACTGCTACCTGTTGAAATCAGGAGTGTATTAAGCTGTTGGAAATTAAACACGGATGAATTTTCAGTACTCACTGAAATTCCTTTCCGATACTATCCTATGTGCTTCTGTGTTTTATTATTTTTGTTTGTGCCTTCATATTCCTTACTATAGTTCTAGATTCCCACGCCTCCACTCTGGAAGAAAGGTAATCTTGTCGAGGCTGGCCCCTGACAGGTAACAAAACTTATTCCCAGCATACAGAAGGGAATCCCACATCACTCTCTCTTATGCGCAATAAAAACCTTCCCCATAACCACCAAAGGTCATTTCAATGGTTTTTCTACTAAGCCTCCTCGAATAAAATAATAGACGCTAGCAAAGAAACTCATTGCTTGAATTAACTTACCATTTTTTCTCTATAATAGTTTTGAAAAGAAAAAAGAAAAAATATTCCAAAACCCTAGTATTACATAAATAGGTGACATGGTTTTGTTGGGTCCTGGTGTAGCATGAATAATGGGGGCAGACCACCGAAGTCAGGTAACCAGAAGCAAACTTTATCACTGTGGGTTACCAGACCTTCCAACTAGTTAGGGCCCAAAGGAGGTTAGAATCTGACACTGTGACCATGAGAAGAAGACAGAAGCCTCTTTTTATAGCCCCCCCAAAAAAGCAGGGTAGGGAGTCAGAGGAACTTTTACAATTTTGAGGCTAGGCCTTCAGTACCAGGCATCCTGATTACAGGTGTTGGTTCAAAACGTTTACAGGAGTCTGGCGGTCTGACACAGCTGTGCGTCTGCCTGAATTCTTCTTTCTTTCTTTCTTTCTTTTTTGAGACAGGGTTTCTCCATGTAACAGTACTAGCTGTCCAGGAACACACAGAGATCTGCTTGCTTCTGCCTCCCAAGTGCTGAGATTAAAGGCGTGCACCACTACTGCCTCGTTCTGTATTAATTCTTAACCAACTACTTTTCCTGTAGCTGGAAAGAATGTAGGGCAAAGGGTTATGAGAAGTAACTGTTAAAGGTTAACCTGTTTAAAGATGCTGTCAGCCCCAATACTCCTAGAATATATGTATAAGCTATATGAACAGGCATACACTTTTTCATATTCCTGGGCTTTTCAGTTTGTCTGGCCCTGAACTATTTCACCACCCAAGTGCTGGGACGTAACACACACCTGGTCTATGCACTACAGTATGGCTCTAGAGCAGAGCAAGGGGCTAAAGATAGAAACACACACACACACACACACACACACACACACACACACACACACACATCATCATCCTTGAAATAAGAATGCCCCCTTTATTGTGTTCTTATATAGGGTCTCCTTGATTAATGGCCATGCTCCAGTTCTCAGATGCAAGCCCACCAGAAACCACTCCCCTGTCACCAGGAACTCTCAGAGCAGCAGCAGGAAAGTAAGTTGTCACAGGAAATTCAGGGTCTGATGGTCTGCAGTCCCCAGCACTGGGATTAAAGGCATGCACTACCACTGGCGAGCTTTACATTTCTGAATTGCCCCCTTTCTCCTTTCTGTGGCATCTATTTCCTTTGCGGGAACCTTCCCCTCTTTTAGAAGTCAACCTCCACTTAATCTCTGCCTTCTAAGTGCTGGTATTAAAAGTGTGCCCCCACAAAGCCCAGTTGTACATAATTTTAAAAACTGAGTTGGTTGGTGGTGGTTCATGCCTTTAATATCAATGCAGGTGGATCTCTGGTCTACAGATCTAATTCTAGGACAGCCATGACCACACAAAGAAACCTTGTCGTGAAAAAATAAAAACAAAAACCTAAATAAATAATAACTAAGTCATTAACTAATTCTCTCAAGCAGTACTGAAGAATGCTATACTCTAGCTTAGCAGTCATTCCCACTTCTAGCAGAGCAGCTGGACTACCGGCAAGCCACCTTCAAGGCGGGGAGAGGGTGGGAAAGGTCATTCACTAGACTCTTCCCAGGAATCACAAGCACAAGCCAGTTAAATATAATGCTATCCATGCTAGACTTGGCAGTTTCTGAGGTACTAGAATATATGGAGGGTGGAAGGGTAAATGAACAGAGAGGTGGTGGGGGTGTTCATTTGAAACCTCCTGTTACATGTCTTTCTCTCTCCAAACCCCACAGGCTCAGAGTCTCCAAACAAAGGAAAGGCAGCAAAACACCCAGTTCCACACTCTTGGTGGAACTGCATCTTCCTCCCTTGAAGTTCCCAACGGCGCAACTCCCTGCCTAAAGCATTCAGCTTTTGACCAATCTTGGGCACAAGCCCAACTACTGGCAGACACGTCATTACTCATTACCTACAACCTATAAAGTACCCCGGCTTTTGTTTGTGGCTTCTCTGCCCTCGATCTCTGGGACTGGAGGTCCCGCCCAAGAGGTGCTTTGCTCAAATAAAAATTGACCTCAAAATTTGCTCAAAATAAAAAAAGTGCTGTTGTACTTTTTCAATTTGTCTTGATTGGCTTACCATGTAGGCAGAGAATCCTGTTATGCATAGGGGTGCTCCACCTATGCAGCTATGAGGAAGTCATCAGCTGCTTTGGCGTCACCCATACTCCTGTAAGTAACTTGTCACCTATGATCTGTAACTAAGACCAATAAATCATTAGCGTGCCAAGTGAAGCTGAACTTTGATGGAACCCAACTTTGGTCTGTCAATGGTATCCTAGCTGGGGTGAGTGGACATTTGTGTTTTCCTCCTCAATAAAAGTCACTTAATTTAAAGAAAGTGTGCACGCAGGACTGGGGTGTAACTCAGTGGCAGAAGACTTATTCAAGCTTATGAAAAAACTTGGGTTTGCTGGGTGGCTGTGGTACACACTTTTAATCACAGCACTCCGAAATAGAGGTAGTGAATTCGAGGCCAGCCAGGTCTACAAAGTTCCAGGACAGCCCGAGCTGCTACACAGAGAAACCCTGTCTGGAAAAAAACAAAACCCATCTGGGTTTGAGCCCTAAAAGGTGGGGAACAAAGGTAAAGCTCAAGGAGGCTGAAGAGACAGCTCATTGAGAGCAATGAGTACGTGGGATCAATTCGTGGCACCCACATGGTGGCTCACAACCATATGCAACTAGTTCTACAGGGATCTCACACCGTCTCTGGCCTCTACAGGTACCAGGCACAAAAATGGTTCTCAGACATGCATGTAGACAAAACATTTGTGCAAGCGAAGCAAATAACATTTTTTTTCTTGAGAGTAAGTGCTCAAGTTGTAACTGCTGTCTACAGTATTCTTCCACCTAGCACCACTCCTTCCAACCTGAACACAGTCACCTCCTGTGTCACCAACCAGCACTCCCCGCAGTAACATCACTGAACTCAGCAGAATCGCACCCGAATACCAGCACTGAGGAAGCTGAAGAAGGAAAATGCGGGCCTTTAAGGCCAAGATGAAATACTCTGACAGTTCGAGGCCAGCCAAGGTTACACACGTCGCGTCCACAGGAGGAAAACGGATGGGGGGTGGGGGTTAGAAGACACTCTCACAAACGAAAACAGGGGCACTTTATAGGTTGCAGGCGAGTGTTTATAGGTTGATGTAGACCTTTAATACCAGCACTTGGAAGGCCGAAGCAGGCACATATATCTGAGTTTGGGGCCAGCCTGGTTCACATATCGAACTCCAGGCCAGTCCAGACCCTGTCACAAAAATTTAAAAACTGGTGCTGCATGTCTATAATCCAGGAACGTGGGAGTCTGAGAATCCCAAATTCAAATCCGGTCTGGGATAAAGAAGGCTCTGTTTTTGTTGTTCTTGCTTTTTTTTCCTTTTTTTCTTCTTTCTTTCTCTTTTATTTTTATTTTATTTTATTTTTTTTTTTTTGAGACAGGGTTTGTGTAGCTCTGGCTGTCCTGGTAACCACTAAGTAGACCAGGCTGGCCTTGAACTCAGAGATCACTTGCCACTCCCTCCCCAGTGCTGGGATAAAGGCGAGGCCCACCACCGCAGGCAGCGCTAAGGAGACCCTGTTTTAACAACAACAAAACCGGGGAAATACGGATTATCAGCTGTCTTTTTTTTCATTTCAAATTACATACCAACGAACCAACACTGGAGGCCACTCTAACAATCATCTTTGCTGATAATAAACTTTTATTACTACGAGGAAAAAAAGGAGGGGCGGGAAGACGCACGAGATTTAAAAAATAGAAATCAATTAGGAAAATAGCGAACATCGGATTTTCAAACTATGCAAGTGAGCTCGGGAAGGCTGGTGAAGTCAGTTACGAAATGTCCACCGAACAAGTCCTGTATTTTTGGAGAGCGCTCTTGGCAGCGATCGCCTTTGGAAATGGTGACGTCTCGACAGCACCTAACTCGAAGTTTCTGGGCGTCTTCACAGAGAGAGAAGCGAGGTGTGTGTGTTTCCATCGAGTTCGCGAGCCCCGCCGGTCGGCACTCACCTGGGCCGGGGTGGAGCCGGGATGGAGGCCTCTGACCGCCGGCGTCCTTCCCTGGCCGCAGTCCCGGCAGGCAAACCCCGGGCTGCCGACTCACTGCGGCCCGGGGCGCCTCCCGGGAAACGTTCGCCCACCCGCCTACAGCGCGGAGTCCAGAGACTCACCTCAGGGCGCGGCCCCGTCCTCGGTCCCCTGGGGTCCGCAACCGCCGCCGCCCGGCCGGAGCCCCTTGGCCCAGGAGCGCCCGGAGACCCTCCGTAGGG